CTCAACAACCAGCAAATAGATGTACTGTCACCCTTTATTCATAAATTTGTTAAGCCAGAATTAGATTTCAAAAATGTTTTGACTTCCAGAAGACTTTTGATTTTTTCTAAAATTGAGCAGGTTACTTCAGATATTAAAAGTTATTTTGCTAATTAAATTTCTTATTTTCATTTCTCTCCTTCCTGCTTATTCCATTTTCTACCTCATTGTCATTATTGGTTTTCTTTAGGTATAGGCCACGGCCTTGTCATATGTAAATAAGCAGATACTTCATCAAGCTTCATATTCCCAATAACACATCAATTGCAGCCACCTTCTTCTCGTTGATTCAGTCTTACAAAATATATCTATATATTATATATAGATATTAATTGTAATATCTATATATAGATATTAATTCTAATATCTATATATATTAGCTGATGCCATTGCTTAAATGTACTAAATGGAGATATTCTACCCATTCCATTCTACGCCATCCGCTGAAGCACAAAGAATTTTAGACTAATCTTTGCTTCACTTGCTGAATTCTTCCAAACTTGTTCTAAACTTCATAAACTTAGTCAGACACATAAAAGACCCCAATTTTAAGCATGTCTAGCCACAACCCTCACTAAAGGAACTTGATTCCAGCACATGCAATTTTAAAATATACAATACCTTAAAATGGTATAAATAGTAAATAGCCATCATTAACACACATCCATTTAGAAAGTTACTGCTTTACTTGTTATTAGAATAGAAAAGCTGGATACAAGCACACAAATAAACTATTTACCAACATCCCATGGCACTGTCAACAAAACACTTATTACTGATACTGACTACTCATTAAAACATTGAAATAAAAAAAAAAGAGGAACAGAGAAAAAAAAAAAAAAAGTCTTTTAAATTTAGAATTGCAAATGGGTATAGAGCCAGGTAATGATGTTACTGCTACAAAACATCATATTAAATCCCAGGAAGTGTCATTAGTCAGACAAATCCTATCACCAGAAAATAATCAGTGGTGACAAATGTTCTTACGAATTCCAAAAAAAAGCATATATATTATAGGAACTATTATATAATTCTAATCTGGCATTGAAGATAACACTAATATAAGTTTCCATGCAGTTCACTGCATGTTAAAATTACCACATGAAGCATTTTTGCTGTGTTATTTTGCTAACTATAGAGAAATCCTTTGAAATTTAAATCCTAAAGTCATTAGAAAGATACATCTTTTGCACTATAGCAGCCAATTGAAGAAAAAAACTCTTTTTGGGTAACACCCATTTTTATACAAATTCCCATGAATTTAAGGCAGGCTCTCTGGCAGAGTTAAGTGCCACTTCTAGTCTAGATCATTATTTGCCTTACAACAGCACTTCTAAATTATGTAGTTTTCCTATATATGCTCCCCTTGATGCACTTTAAAGTTTCCATCCATCAGTACAAAACAAGGAAAAAACTCATACATCCACCAGCTTCAAGCTCACTTGCCTACACTAAAAGCTATTTGGGAGTTTCAATATATTGTTGCTGTACTTAAACAAGTCCCTACCACATATCCCTGCTCTCTCAGCGCATTTCAAGAATCAATGACTTCTGTATTATTTGTCTCTAAATGTAAACTTGTTGCCAGCTTTCCTGAATCAACAAAATCATAAAACTGACTCTAAGAAAGAACTTCTGACATTAATCCAACTTATTCTACATAATTCTAAAACACAATTCTAATTACTACTAATTTCTACCTGGAAAACCACACATGATTTGTATGTAATACCTAAATTGCCTGTTTCCAGAAAAAAAAAATCCAAACTGTTTTGCAGAACACAACAGTTATGAAGAGAACAGTGAAATAAAAACATTATAGACATTTCAAGAATGGTAGGCCAGTAGCACTATAATGCATTTTAGAAGGGCTGCAGCTATTTCAAGCTGAAAAAGTATCGGCCAAAACCACACCTAATATTACCCAGGTACCTTTTACTCGTTTTATATGCTGTCGTAGAATGAGTTAATAGACTGAACAAAGATGCATGGTGCTTAGCTATTTTATTTATTTATTTTTATGTATTTGTTGAGTGGTATCACAAATGTGAAAAACCTTCCTGAATTTTCTCTCTATTTCTCATACACACGGTTCTGACACTCAAAACACACAGCAAAACTTACCTCTTCCCACTCATGGCTGATGTAATGAAATTTAGATTTCTTTTAGATGAAACTGATGTTATTCTTAAGCCTATGGAAACAACACAATATAGATATTTTTTACTAGATCAAGTGATACAAGAAGAATTAAACCAACATTTTCCAATAAAAACATTTAAGGGCCATCTTTGGAGTAGAAACATTTTTTAAACTCTCCTCAAAGGTCTTCACAAAACAGAAGATGTTACATTCTTTTAGGCTAAAAATGACATGAAAGACGTTCAGGATCATCCTTGCATTTCAATCTCTCTGTACTAACTCACCATCCTTCTCTTCCACATTTTTGCTTCTGTTGCTGAACAGACTTTGACAACAAAGTTTCTCCAACCCAGCAATATTCCACAAATGACTTACAGCCCCAACACCTCCTTTCTCAACTGCTTTAACCTAGCAGAAAAAAAAAATATATAATAAAAGATCTCTAAGACTAGAAAGATGCTGAGGCAAAAGAGTATACAATCTTTAAGTTAATCTATTGATGTATTGATGTGCAGGCTGCAGCCTTGCACTGCGGTGAGCGCGAGTGACTGAGCAGCCCGCTGAGCCAGGGAGCGCACAGGTTGCATCCCCCTCGAGCGCCCAAGCGGCATCATCACCTGCTTCACGTGAGATGGGACAATTTCAGTTAGACTAGTACATTAAAACTGTCCCCTTGTGCACAGGAGGTTACTTCAGTTATTCTGAAATACCATGGGATCAGTGTAATTTATAGCTGCTTTGCAACATGTTAAATTTGTCAATGTGTCCTTGAATTCTATACATAGTTAAAATATGTCCGTTCCTAATAGGAGCATGCGATCTGTACTAACTTTAGGGCTTCTGGGGAAAGAAGTCTCATTCATAGCTAATTATTAAAAAATGAAATGTATAGAAGATAATGTTTCCTGCATATATATGGCTGTAACTCAGTACCTGTGAATAATCTTCACAGCTGCTGAAGCCCAGTGAGACATAATGCTTGGAAAATACTTTCTGATGCACCATTTATTTTGCCATCACAGTGTACAACAACTTGACACAGCAGATGCCACTTGTATACTGCAGAAGAATTTTTCTAAACCTTAGAAAATAGTTGCAACTCATAATTGTGTTATTAGAAATCACATTTATCTTGAAATAATTCTTAAAAAAAAATGCCAATGAGAAAAAAAATAATCACTATGAAAACTGTGAAAGATTAGCCACCAGCTTTGTACCTACAATCCTTACACGTAGTTGTGTAAGTCTGCAGCAGGGGGATATTTTGCTTGCTGTTGCTAGTGGCAGTCAAAGTGCTCTCAGTTGAGGACAGGCATCAAGGAACAATTCTCTTTGTAAATCCTGTAATCAGCAAAACGACTTTCCAGAACTTCATAGAGAGAAGGATGCCTCTCTCTTCCTCTCCGTAGTCAATTTTCCTCCCTCTTTGTGCCCATCACATGGCACTTTGCAGGTCAGGAATTTTATCAGCAGACACTGTTTGAGTTTATGGTCAACACACAGAATAAAGGGCAAAGATCTGCATGAAGAGGAACAGCTGTCAAGGCTGCAAATGGAGAAAGATTGAGCATAGATGGAAATTCTCACCTAATTTGCTAGCTAATTTTTTTTTTTTTTTTTTCTGGTGGGCGAGGGTACTTTGAAATCCAACAGGTTTTGAGGAACTTCTGCAACACACCTTGTACCATATGGTGCAGCAGACACATTAAACACTTACTGCAGCATGGAGGGCAATTTTTCTCATGGAAGAGAAATGAAAAGGAGATTACAGAACAACCTTGACCATTTAAAGCATGGTAATAATACCACATCTCAAAGGAATTTGATCTAAAACTAAACTGGTTACTTCCCTGCTGAAAGTCATCAGACACTGCTAATAAACCCAAAATAAAGAGGATGGTCGGAAGAATGGTTGAGAAATAGGTGGAAAACTTCAGCATTGGTGAGGAGGCCAACTGAATTTAAGTTTTATTAGTCACTACTTCTGTAGCACAGGACAACGCAAGGTGTTAAACTCTTCTCATTATCAACCTTTTTTTTTTCACTTAGTGATAACTAAAGCATATGAGCAAACACAAAGTGAGCTCAGTGAGGGTTTTTTTTTTTTTTTTTTAAGGACAGGTTAAGGACAACTCTATATAACTGGTCTCTATACAAAATACAAACACGAGCCCCAGAAAGCACCAGGAAGCCAGGAACCTATGGGGAAAATGCTGTTTAAGGAAACAATAGCACTGTAGCACCTACACTAGCTTAACACAAAGCCACTGCCTGAAGTGGAAAAGCAGCAATTAAGAAGTAACAATGTTCGGGTAATATTACTCAGATCTTCCACAGCTCTGAACATTTTACCTCCTCCAACAATGATCTGAAGGGAGGGGGGAAATTAAGAAGAGACAATCTAAAGCACTGGTAGATTTTAAAATGAGTGTTATTCTATTAAAGAGGTAGAATTTCAAATACATCGGAGGGGCAACCCCCTTTAACCACCGCATGCCCGCTCCCGCCCGCGCCCCGGTATCCCGAGGGCAGTAACGCACACCACCGCCTGCACTCAGGGCGCATGCGCACGGCGCGAGGTTAACGGCCGCGCAGGCCCCGCCCCCAGACAGGCGGGGCGTCCGGCGGAGGACTCGCCGCCCGCCCGCGGCGTAGCCAGGCAACGGCGCTAGTCGAGCGCCGATGCGCTGGATCGGGGGCTGCGGGCGAATGGGCGGATCCAAGGACGCAGCGCGGGCGCCGCGCGCGCTCGGGGCTCGGCTGGCGGCGCCTGGAGCGCGCGGCGTTTGAGGGCGCCGCGGTGCCGCCGCCGCGCGCCCATGGCCGCCGCGCTGGTAGGGGCGGCCCCGGGGCGGGCGGACGGGCCCGGGCCGCGGCGGGCGCCTCGCAAAGGGTCTCGGCGGGCGGAGTTGCGGACGCCCCTCACAGTGTCCCCCTCTTTCCCGCCAGGAGGACCCCGCGCTGATCCGTCCCTTCCGCGGGCACCAGGCGGCCGTGACCGGCGTCGCCTTCGGCGCGGGCGCCGCGGGGCTGGGTGAGTGCGCGGCGCGGCGGGACGGGACGGGGCGGGGCGGGGCGGGCGCGGAGAGTCTCGGCCCCTTTCGCTAAGCGACAACTTCTGGAGCGAACCGCGCAGCGGGGGCGGGCCCGGTCCCGCGGCGGCGGCGGGAGGGGAAGGAGGAAGCGGCCGCAGCAGCCGGGGGCGGCGGCGCCGCTCTGCGCCGCGCTCCGCGATGCGGCTCCGCCGGGCGCGCGGCTGGACGTGGCTGGGCCGCGGCTGCGCCCTCCTGGGCCTCCTCTCGGCCGCCGTGCTGGTGCTCGAGCTCTCGCTGTCGGCCCCGGGCGGCGGCGGCGGCACCGCGGGCGGCGGGGGGCGGTCGCGGCGCCTGCCCGGCGCGGCGCGCGAGCCGCTCGACCTGGCGCGGCCCGTGTACGAGAAGCCGCCGGCGGATCCGCGCGCGCCCGGCGAGTGGGGCAAGGCGGCCCGGCTGCCGCTGAGCGGGCGCGAGCGGAAGCGCGAGGAGGAGCTGCTCGAGAGCTACGCGATCAACGTGCACCTGAGCGACCGCATCTCCCTGCACCGGCACATCGAGGACAACCGCATGGCCGCGTGCCGGGCCAAGAGCTACAGCTACCGCCGCCTGCCCACCACCTCCGTCGTGATCGCCTTCTACAACGAGGCGTGGTCCACGCTGCTGCGCACCGTGCACAGCGTCCTCGAGACGTCCCCTTCCGTCCTGCTCAAGGAGATCATACTGGTCGACGACTTGAGCGATAAAGTGTACCTGAAGGCGGAGCTGGAGAAGTACATCAGCAACCTGAAAAGGGTCCGCCTGATAAGAACCAACAAGCGGGAGGGCCTGGTCCGCGCGCGCCTCATCGGCGCTACCTTCGCCACTGGCGACGTCCTGACGTTTCTCGACTGCCACTGCGAGTGCGTGTCCGGCTGGCTGGAGCCGCTGCTCGAGAGGATCGCCGAGAACGAGACCGTCGTCATTTGCCCTGTTATTGACACCATCGACTGGAACACGTTCGAGTTCTACATGCAAACCACAGAGCCCATGATCGGGGGCTTCGACTGGCGGCTGACGTTTCAGTGGCACTCGGTGCCCAAGCATGAGCGTCTCAGGCGCAAATCCGAAACCGACCCCATCAGGTCCCCGACTATGGCTGGCGGCTTGTTTGCCGTCAGCAAGAAATATTTTGAGTACCTGGGCACGTATGATACGGGGATGGATGTTTGGGGAGGGGAGAACTTGGAGCTCTCGTTCAGGGTTTGGCAGTGCGGGGGCACGCTGGAGATCCACCCGTGCTCCCATGTGGGCCACGTGTTTCCGAAGCGGGCACCATATGCTCGACCAAACTTCCTTCAGAACACAGCGCGTGCCGCCGAGGTGTGGATGGATGAGTTTAAAGAGCATTTTTACAACAGAAATCCTTCGGCGAGGAAAGAAAACTATGGAGACATATCTGAACGGAAGCTGCTAAGAGAGCGTTTGAAGTGTAAGGATTTTAACTGGTACTTAAAGAACGTGTTTTCGGAGTTGCATGTACCAGAAGATCGGCCTGGCTGGCATGGTGCTATCCGCAGCATGGGCATATCCTCAGAGTGCCTCGACTATGCCTTACCAGAACACAATCCCACTGGGGCTCACCTGTCTCTCTTCGGATGCCATGGTCAAGGAGGAAATCAGTTTTTTGAATATACATCAAATAAGGAGATTAGATTTAACTCTGTAACTGAACTCTGTGCTGAAGTCCCTGAACAGAAGGATTTCATCGGTATGAGGAGCTGCCCAAAAGATGGATCTCCTATTCCACAAAATATTATATGGCATTTCAAAAGCGATGGGACTATTTATCATCCTCAGTCAGGAAAGTGCCTTAGTGCTTATCGCACGACAGAGGGGCGGCCTGATGTGCAAATGAGAACTTGTAATGCTGCAGATAAAAACCAAATTTGGAAGTTTGAGAAATAATGTTTACTGCTAGAAGGAATCAAATGGACTGCAATCACCAAGGCTTTTACCTTCATGGGCAAAGGGCTACATTTGACTGTGAATGTCTTCAAAAGTGTCTTCCTTGTAGTGGTGCAGAAACTGTGTCTACTGCTGTGAGCAGTATGGAAAGCAAAAGCAATAATGGGGTTTAGTTTCTAAAACATTGGGTCCAGATTTAGGACTTTTTATTTTTGTAGAGTGCTGATCCTCAATTTCTTATTTTGGGCTGCCTTAATTACAAAGCCTGTATGGTGGACTGAACAGTTGTTTCTATTTTAGTACTAAACCTGCAAGATTATCTGCTATGTAAATTAAAGGATATATGCCTAGGGAAATAAAGGTTAAGGCTCTCGCAGCAATATTAACCAACCTACTTTGCAGCACCATTTTAATATATGCATTTGGTGTGCTATATAATGCCAGGGTAGCATATAGGTTGATTAGACTTGCTTTCTGGATTCTGGCCTTGGAATTCTGGTCTTGAATTTTCATATCCTTAAGGATTTTAGGGTGGCACCTAACTATGTTTGAAGAAGAAGGGAGTGGTTTTTTTGTTGGTTTGTTTTTGTTTATTAGTATATATAGTAGATGGGAATGGGGAAATGGTAGATTTTTGTCTTGGATGCTTCGTTTTGGCACTTGCAGCCTTGTCCCTGTGCTGGATGGTGGTCTGGCAAGGGTGACTGGGGAATCCGTATACGTTTGGAAATGAGAACGTAGTAGCACTGGAAACAAGGACATGCTCCATGAAGAGAGGAGAAGAAACATAAGGATAGTTAGAAGGAAGAGTTCTATTGATGAAGAAGCAAAGAGCGCACACGGACTTGCATGAGTCACTACTGCTTCTTAGAGATATATTTCTTATTTACATAGTATTTGCGTAAGCTTTCCCATGTTAAGCTGGAATTCCTAGGGAGCAACTGTACCACGCATCAATTTTGCCAGTTCAGAAAAAAAAAAAAAGGTCACCTCTTACAAACACTTGTATAAATCCTGAAGTGGCAGCAGAGTGGAGGAGAGAGGCACAAGGGAAAAGTTGGGCTGTTGTATTTTGCCACACGTGCTGTGTTTTGGCAGCAGCTGGCAGGCCCTGCTCCGTACGTGGTGCTCTGAAAGAGCTGCAGTATGTGCTGCTGCTTTCCAGTGACAGCAGTGTTGCAGGAGACGTGGAAGTTGGGCTTGCTTAGGTGAGGGGAATTGAAGCTACAAAAGACAAATCTTAAGAAACTTTTTCTTTTTTTTTTCTAGTTCTCAGAGGAACTTTTCATTTTGAGCATGTGTGGTATTCTGTTATTCTGTGTCCTGTTATGCTGAGCACTAAAGAATAATGGTTTCTGAATTGTGCCACTAGCTCATTTTCTTGTATTTGAGTGTGGTTACTGACAGTGAGTGTGATCAGCATTTTGTGTACTTGGAAAAAACATCCTGTGGTAGTGTCCATGTTTTTGCCCATAAACAATTGAGTAGAACATTTACCTTAATTTTGCTTTTTTTTAAATTACTTTCCTTGCTATAACAGATGTTTACAGTAGAACAGCAGCAATAAAGTAAATGTTGACACTGGACTGGAAGACAGGAACTTGAGCTGGTGAGCAATGAGAATGTGGATAAACACACTCAAGGAATGTAGTAGATGCAAGTTTGCTGGAGGCGTTGGTGAGTGTAAGAGTTGAAAGGGAAGCAAGTGGGACCTGAAGTAAGGGCAGGTTTGCCACAAAAAGACAAAGCAAAAGTAAATTAACATATACCTTTGAATCTGTGTGACTGGAAAGAGTATAAAGTTTTGGGTGACCACTGACAAGCAAGTTAAAACAGGCTAAAATAGAAGGGGAGCATAGGAGAAAAATTTGCATGTGGTGATTGATATAGGGCTCATAATAAAAGTGCTTGCCACTGTGTGGCATGGCTTGCTTCAAACCTTGGTAGCTTCTTTTAAAGAGCCTACTTGCAATTTGATTTTTTTTTTTCTGAGCTGATTTTGTGGGGGGAAAGTGGAATGTGTTTACTGTATAAGGAAGGCAGAAAATGAGCTTTTCCTGCTGCGACCAGGAGTTCTTTTGTGGACCAACAAGCTATGAATCATTTATAAGACGGCCACCCATTATGTACTGGGCAGCAAATTATACCGAGTCCCTGCTTTTGTGGAAAGCTTGCCGTTAACTGCTAAATTAGCTAGAAACAGCAGGAAAAGGACACGAGTACTCCTACGTAGCAGAGGCATTGCTGTATATGCAGTGCATGCTTCCTCGGATGAAAGTAACTGATCAGTGTGACTATTGACTATGCAACTTTTTAATACAGTTTTAACTTTTATTAAAGACTTGGTGAAAGTGGTGTTTTCTATGGAGAGTTACTTACATGCTATGTATGACATTCAAAGTGCTGTTAGAGCCAAAAAAAAAAAAAAATCTAGGTGAACCAGTCTCTTGAATTTTGAAGCCCTATTCTCTTTTCATATGTCTGAATCCTTCCTCCTCTCCACCTCATTCCATTATATTTATGGTTGTTTTAAAATATCAAAGTGAAAAGGAATGTGTGAATCAAAAGTAAATGATCTGGCCCTAAAAAAGTATTGTTACTTAAACAATATTACTTAATATTTACTTAATTTACTTAATATACAAAAGTATTGTTGCTTAAAGTAATTAAAAATTATAGTAAAATATAGTGGTGAGTAACTGAGGAAGGAGGGAAATGAGAGGGAGAGAAAGGATGAGAGAACAGCTACCATTCTAAGTTCAGCTAGCATTGAACTTAATTGTAGCAATGCTACAGAAATATTTTAATCCAGTCATTTTTCAGTGTGTACAGATTTCTGGCAAATCTGAAACTCTGGAAGATTTTATATTACATTATACTTTAAGAATTTAGGAACCATTTGTATATATTTTAAACTACTGATTTTTAAATCACTTAAAAACAATTGAATGTGAATTTAACACTGAATAAATAGGGGAGGGCTTGGGGGTTTCTTTTGAAAAATAAAATTTGTAATTATAAATATATATTGACTAATGTGCTGATTTTCTTTTTCCAATTGTCTATTTGTGTAAGTGTTAACATAGTATAAGTTTGTAAGTAACATTGTGTAAGTGACAGAATATAAGTACATAAGTAACATAGAGTATACAATGAAACTGCCACGGACTTCATGAGACTTATTAAAGATTTGTCATAATTTATCCACTATATTTATAACACCATATTAGTCCCTTGAGAGGGTTTAATTAATGTGTTTTTTTTCTCCAGGTAGGAAATTTTCAGAATCATTGTGAAATGTTTGCATTTTGACCTTGTCACAATAAGAGATTAGGTTCCAAGTTAGATTTTTCATGTATTTATTTTTACATCCACACCCTGCACACATCCTGGTATTCTGTATGTCCTATAATTCATGCACTGTGTGAGATACCTTAACTACGCTTGGATATTTATAGAAAAGACGGGTTATAAATTGGGCTATGTTGCATAGAGGCATCAACCTAGCATGAATTTTCTTTTCTGATTTCCTTTCTGGTGGTATTTTGTGGCTGGTCACATACCGTTGCTGTTGTGTCATGACCAGAGTGTTTTGGCTTTCACCGCCCAGTGTAGTTGAGGTTGTTTTTCTTGTGAGGGGTGCGTGCAACAGACCTCCCTGTGGTGCAGGCTTTCTTTAAAAACCCTTCTGGACCTTTCTTGCTCCTCGTGCTTTCTGTGCGGCTATTGTAGTGTAGCTTTGGAGATCTGCTTGTGGACCGTTTACTAGTGGTCTGGTAACTGAGAGTGAGACTTCAGAGTCCTGGCTTTTTATCTCATGCACAGAACATGAGGACTGGGTCCAGCCTGCCCTGGTGCAAAGAGCTCTGTGTAGTTTGTCTTGAAAGATTCTTCCTCCCATCTTTTTGAGCACTTACATATGTGCTGTATGAGCTTGAGATAAAGAAATGCAAAAAAGAAAACAAAATCTCTTAAGTTAGAATAAAAAGAGAAATAGAACTTGATTTGATAGTAGTAGCTTAGTGTATTTTTCTCACATGTAACACAGTTCTAAAAAATTAGTATTGATAATGGAAATCATTAGCAATGCTGTCTTGTGGTCTCTTGCGTTTACAGAGAGAGGTTGTGCTTTCCTTGCTTTGGAAACCGTCAGTCTTGTCGTCTATTCCACTTTTCCAAGATGATGTCTTCAAATTCTACTTTGGTTTTTATTTTACTTTTCTTTCTATTTTATGTGATTCTGGATAACTCTTTTCTGAATTGGAAGAAAAAAAATCATTCAAGTACAATTACAGCCTGCTAAAAAAACAAGCAGCTTTGAAAAGTTGAAGGGGAAGAAATAGCCTATGTTTCTGTGCCAAATTCAGGCCACCTTTTGCAGGTGTAGGGATAGTCCTGACCCCATCTTTTACCAGAAAACAGTATAGTTTTCAAGTAAAGTGACAGAGCAGAATTCTGGTGGGGAGTTTAACATCTGATCTGTTGTTCAAGCCTTGCCATGATGTATGTGCAATACGTAGACTCCTCTCCTTCTAAGGCTGTTTGTGCTGTGTTGGTACCTGCAGCAGATTTATCTTCCTTCTTTCATGTCCTCTTCAGTTTCTAGGAGCTCACTATTCTCCCATCCCTTCCTCTTTCTTTCTGTTAACAGGCCAAATGTTTCACATTCTACTTTTGAGCTACCAAGTGTTAGCATTAAAAGTGTGGTATTTGGGTAGAGTTTCAAAATTATATTTGGAGGTTAATTTCAGATGGTGTGCCCGGTGATGTCTTCAATTAGTTCTCTGAATTAGCTTCTTTATCCCCTGAATTAAATAGTTGGAGCTTTAAATGGAGCTTGGAGACGAGAGTGAAGTTCTGAGCATATCATTGAAAGTGTCTTCTCTTGCAGGTGAATATTAAGTAATGAGAATTCTGGATAGATTCATAATGATCTGTGTGATTTTTCTTTTTTTCTTAAAGTGTTTCAGAAGCCATTTGCTCAATTCTTGGGACAAGCAGTAAGATTTTTACTTAGCTAATGATTTGGTGTAATAGACAATATCTTTCAATTATCTCTTGCCAGCTACCTGTTCTCTGGATAGGTATCTCATGGTGTGGAAGCTGACGGGGCAGTGCAGAGCGTTCAGATTCGCAGGCCACGCAGACGCCGTGACGGGCGTGCAGTTCTCCCCGGATGGGCAGCTCGTTGCCTCCGCCTCTCAGGATCGTACGGTCCGACTGTGGATTCCTTGCATGTGAGTGAGTATAGGTGGGCAGGGCTGGCAATGGGTTTTGTTGCTGCTTTTGTTCTATGTGCACTGTGAATACTGGAGGAGCTTGATATGTTAAATATTTCTGTTTCCTTCCCATATCCCTCATTGAGCTTAGCCAGAAACAGAGACTGTAGGGGACTAATAACACAATTCTTTGCTCCAGGTTACTCTGCAGTTCCCAAGGAAAAGTATAGCAATTCAGAGGTCGTAGTTCCATGCGTGGGTCGGGCTGCTCTTGCTTCTGTGCTATTTCTCTGGTTTAAAGGATATATTTCTTCTCGTAAGGACTGCATAACTAGGTCTCATTTGGTGGAGACAAGTTGTAAAGAAAACGTAAATACCATTTGGAGAGAGGGAGAAAAAAAAAAGTTTTTCTCTTCAGACTTTTATTCTCCAGCGGCAGTGATTATGAACTATTAATGATCTTAAACTAGCACTACTTAAGCTTTAATTAAATTCTCTTCTAAATAGTATGTAGAGGCAAATGCTGCTACTTAATTGCTCTGTATTCAAAAATTGGTCACCTAAATGTGTATGATTACTTTGAAAGTCTGCATTCTGGTGTTTGCTTTACATATAGGGAAAACTGACGGCAACCACACAGTTTAGCTAGCCTACATTGTTTGGGTTTTGCATGAAATGTATAGTCATCCAGATTTATAAAGAGTAGCTTGGTTTAATACTTTCCTGTTGTTTTGTTTCTCCTTCCCCTGCCTTGGCCCAGTCATGGAGAATCATCAGCCCTGAAAGGCCACACGGCGCCTGTTCGCAGCGTGAGCTTCTCACATGACGGCCACTTCGTGGTTTCCGCATCCAATGATAAATCAATCAAAATATGGAGCATTCACCGCCAGCGCCTCTTCTTTTCTATATCCCAGCACACTCGCTGGGTTCGCTGTGCCAGGTGGGTGTCCATAAGCAGGCAGTTTGGGTGAATTTCTTGCACAAGGCTCTTCATACAGGATGTGTGTTGCCCAGGGCCATAACTAAGAGAGAGGGGAAAAAATCATAGAATCATAGAATGTTCGAGGTTGGAAGGGACCTCTAGAGATCATCTAGTCCAACCTTCCTGCTCAAGCAGGGACACCCAGAGCATGTGGCACAGGGTGGCATCCAGGTGGGTTTGGAAGACATCCAGAGAAGGAGACACTACAGCCTCCCTGGGCAGCCTGTGCCAGGGCTCTGTCACCCTCGCAGTGAAGAAGTTCATCCTCACATGGAGATGGAACTTCCTGTGTTTCAGCTTATGCCCATTTCCCCTTGTCCTATCGCTGGCCACCAATGAGAAGAGCTTGTCCCCTTCCTCCCTGCATTCTCCCTTCCTGAACTTATACATGTTAATCATATCCCCTCTCGAAAAATCATATCCCCTCTCAAAAATGTGAGAAAGGTAAAATTGATACATCAATAATAAGTTTTTAATCAGTAATATATATGTGTATAAGAATATAAACATAACAATGTTTTATATGTGTATAAAACACATGAATGTGTATAAAATATTTATGTGTATATATATACAAAATCTAATTGAAGTTTGAAAGCCTAGTATTATTAGCCTACATATATTCATTAAACATCTGTCATAGACTGTTAAGGTAAGTATGGATCAGAAGAAAAATATTTTGAAGAAGAGGTGGAGTCCTCTGTAATAACAATTTCAGTCAATATCCTGCCCTACTAATGTGTTCTTTGTGCTGTGCTGATAACTTGTTTCTTAGCATTCATTGTTATCTTGATTTCTTTATAATTCATGGTAGGGTTTTTTAAAAAAAAAATTTAGAGAACAGTAAGGGCACAAAAAAGAGAGGCCATGAACTAAAATGAGTTGCACTTCTAAAATTGGAAAGGATAAAAGGAAATATATTTGCGTGGAAAATTAAGTACTCTGCTTAAAGGGAGAATAGCCCTTCAGGGAAAAGAAAAGATATTTAACTGTTTTGTTTCCATATTAACAGAAAATATGCAAACTTCTTAATAGAAGATCTATAGCTAAGAAAACATCTTGGGAAGGAAGTCTGGAATACTAGAGAACTTGAAGAGTCCTGAAAAGTTCTGTAATATCTAATGATTGAGAAGAAAAATTGAATTTCTAAAAAAAAAAAAAAATCATGTTTGGAAATTATTGAAGAGTGTTTCAATATCGTTTTTAGTGCAATTGGTCACTCTGAGGAATAACGAGAAATGGTAAAATTACAGACAAAACAGCTTTTTTTAAAAAAAAACTAGTTTGTTAGCCAAGGGATGAGCTCAATGTTTTGCTAGCAGTTAGGAAGTTTAGAGAGAACTCACAGGAGAATATATATCTAGGTTATAATTGAATGTAAAGTTCCATCATGTCCTCTTTTATTTTCCTTCTCCCTCACCCTCCTTTTTCATCTGTAATTTCTATAATATAGAAATATAATTTCTATAAGCTTTTTGGCATCTAAAATGCCTCCTTTAGACTACCCTTTTCCTCACCTCTGGATTTGTTTTAATTAACTGGAGATGATTGTGTAATAACTAAAAACAAAAATCTTATTTATTAATTGAAAATACTCTTTTAACTTTTATTTCCAAGCAGACTTTCTTGGTTCTGATGTTTTGCTATCAATGTGTTTAATACCAAACATCTGATACTACCTAAAATAGAAATGCATATGTCTGTATATTCTAGATTTTCACCTGATGGAAGGCTAATAGCATCTTGCAGTGAAGATAAAACTGTTAAAATATGGGATACAAGAAATAAAACATGTGTTGATACCTTCATAGATTATGGAGGGTAAGTGTTACTCTCTTTTAAAAAGTCAATAAAATGCATAATTTAAATGAGATTGAAATCATAATTTCTGCTGTTAACATCTGTCTGTCATAGCTAAAATTAGATCAGTGTTCTGTCATCCATTAAAACTAATACTCATTTTGCATTTTTCTAAAGAGGTTAAGTGGTTCTATCTACCCAGCTATAAGAAATAAACCACAGAGAAGTTGTATTATTTAGTGGATTTTGACTTTGTTCATGTTTCCTTCATGTTTTTTTCCTTCTGTTTGGATCACTTTACTGTCAGGTGGTTTAACAGAAAGATATGTTCAGGAATTCTCCACCTACACAGTGTTGTTGATGAAGAAGGTATTCTGTTAACTTTGGTGGTCTGATTTGCTTAGTTATGAAAAACAAACGTTACTGACACTACTCTCAACCCTTGATGTTATATAAGTGTCTTCATGCTTCAGGGCTACTTTTGCTTCTTCTGCAGATTTTATACAATCTAGGTTGTGAAGATTTGAACCAGTATGATTGTACTGTCTTCTTGGCCGAAGACAGGTTATACAATCTGATTTTCCAGGCACATCTATTTTTTTCATGTTTGTCTGAAATACCTTACTTGAGTTTTTGTGGCAAATTATGTTGTCAATATTAAACATTAAATATTTCTACCAAAATGAATAATCAATCTATTTTCATGCATTATATTTAGATTTGCAAATTTTGTGGATTTCAATCCAAGTGGTACATGTATAGCTTCCGCAGGCTCCAATCATACAGTGAGACTGTGGGATATTCGAATGAACAAGCTACTCCAGCATTACAGAGGTAAAAACAACATGGTTTGTTGCATTTTCTTTCAACTGGAATTCTTTGCAACAAAATGTGATCAGTGTTCATGCATGACTTAATTTCTTACTGTGAATAGTGAGGGAAAATGGTATTTTGCAAGTATTCTTTTTGCAGATCTATAGATTAGACAATCTTAAAGAAATGAAAAAATAAACTGCATCCTGGTTATTCCTTTGCAATAGTGCTCTTGATTTTTAGAATAGAGCTTAATAAATGTTTTGGAGATTCTCCTATGCATCTAAGACTTTGTTTGTTTGTTAGTGGAGTCATTTTTTCCTTGGGAAATAGAAAAGAGGTAATTATTGGAAATGTATGTTTTATTTCTTAAATATCTCATATCTAATTCTAATCCTATTTAATCAGTTCACAGAGCAGGGGTTAACTGTGTGTCGTTCCATCCTTCCGGTAACTACCTCATCACTGCTTCTACTGATGGCACCCTTAAGATTTTGGACCTCTTGGGAGGAAGACTTATTTACACACTTCATGGACACAAGGTATACAAAATTATTCAAATCTTAAGATTTTAATGGGTTATGCAAAATCTTTTCACAGGGAAAATAACATTTATACCAACATGTCTTTGTCTTGCTGCTCTGGAACAACTTCTATGAAGAGTGCCGTGTGTTGCATTAATTCAGCTTGTCATAAATGGCCAAGGAGATGCATCCACTTTAGGCCAACAGTCAATATTGTATTCATGTTTAATCATGAGTAATAGTTCTTGTTTTGCTTTAATTAAGAGATAATTAATTATAGAAATCAAAAGTTAGTTACCTGGAATATTAGTTTTTTGTCTGCGGACAAGTAGTGCAGCAGTCCACCAGCTGAGGGAGAGAAAAGTTCATGAAAAATGTTTTCTGTGAGGAATGACAGCCTTTTTTCCTTATCTTCCCATGCAAAACAAACCCTACTTGTAATAACAAATATTCAAGCAAATTGCCAAATGTATATTGCTACAGACAATGCCACTATCTTCCTGTGTTTGGTTGTAGTAATCATAATGCAAATTCTTATCAAGATGTACAATATTCATTCTTCGTCAATAAAATGGAGTTTCATAAAAATTTTGCTGCAGTTGAACCATTCCTTATCTTGCTAAAATTGAAGAATATGTTTTCATTAACATTGTATATTATACAATGTTATATGCATGCAAGTATTTTTCTCTTTGCATTAAAATACTATGATTACAATAGTAACATAACTTTGCAGTACACTAATTAGTTTTTTACTTTACAGGGACCAGTCCTTTCTGTAGCTTTTTCAAAAGGTGGTGAAAAATTTGCCTCAGGTGGAGCAGATGCTCAGGTTTGTGATATTGGCTTTTTGAATAAAATGTCTTTTCAATGTTTGTTACATTGAATACATAAACTTACATAAACTTAATATACCATAGAATACAATAAACTTAAATACATAAACTTAATACACCAAAGTAACATGGTAATTGTAGTATGCTGACATGATTCCTTTGCATTTCTTCTTCTGTTGTGTTACATAGGCATTATTTGTCCTAAAGTTAAATTTCATGAGGCAAATACTAAATACGTAGTTGTAAAAGTTAATGTTAACTTGTTAAGTTGAATATCCTGAAGAGGAGAAAACCACAGTACTGGGCATTTCTATTATGCAAATTATATTAAAGGAGTGATTTTTAAGTATAAGCATTTTTAAAACTTTGCAATTCAATGTCAAGGAAGTAATTTTGCTGAATGCACATTTCATTAGGTTTTCTCTCCTCCTTTTGAATTCACTACTTTAACTGTATTCATTGAGTGAAATGTATTTCAAGAAGTAACAGAAAGAAATAGCCTTGAGAATAATTTCTTTTGAATGAAAAATATCAATTTGTTTAAAATGAATACAGCTGTCCTCAGTCTATCCTTCAGGTAGTACCCTTTCTAAAAATGATTTAAAGGCTCCCAAAAGAAATGGAAAGAGTTGCTTTCCATCACAAGGAATTAATAAGAAGCAATGGCAATTGTTAGAAAAGTGCACATCAGCAATCTTTTGATATTAATTTTGCAAGCAGGGGGAAAAAAAAACAAGAGTGGAGAGAGATGTGTATTTCTTGAGCACCTTTTGCTTTCTTTTGTTTCCATGCTCAAGGTTTTGAATGAGTGTTTTCCATTTCAAAAGGAAACTTTGATTCTTGGGGATTCCTGAATTGTTGCCCTCTATTTTCCTTTGATATTTATGAGGACTAGTATAGAATACTTTTACATTAACTTAACTTGAGAGAAAGAGATGTTTGTGAGGTATTTAATTAGGTCACAGTGCTGGAAGATTCATCATAGAAGCTCTGAAGGCTCAGGGCCTACCAAATGCACGTGTTTGGTGCAATGATGTCACTGCCTTTCTCCTGCTCTGACTCCATGCTGTAAAGCCAGTGGTACATGGAGTCGTGGAATGAGTGCGATTTTTATTGTTATAATTTTTAATTATGCATTTTGCAATATATATGCAAAACCCATAAAATGATTCCCAGCAGAGTTTGGTGGATTGGTCTCATGTTCAATGTATGAGAAGAAAGTTTCGTAAGGAAGTGATTTCTACGTAAAACTACCATAACCACTTCTTATTGCCTGTTAGTTGCTAACTCTTTTTTATTTTCCTTATTGAAAAGCATTTTTTCAGTTGATTATCTTTTCATTTCAATTTTTTTTGTAAGAGAGGGTCACTTTTTTGCTTCGACTACTTTTTATTTCTTAAGTTTTAAAATGTACAGTGTTACAATCTGTGTACGTTCTATTTTTATAACTATTGATATATATGGCTTTATCTGGGGTGAACACTAATGTATTCCTCAGCTTTTGTTTGCTGCTAACGTATGCTAACACATGCACCTGCTCTGCAAACATCAGTGTTTGCTGACCTCTCCATATAGCCCATGCAGGTCTGCCAGCACAGAAGCAGTGGGAGTGCTCGAGTGGATTTAATGTGGGCACTGCAAATGAAGATCTCTCCAGAATTACCTTGGGTTAAACCTTTTAGGGACTATTTATTTGAAAAGTTCTTACAGCAGATTTTCATAGGCAGTTGATCAATCACAATCAACCACAAGTTGATCAGCCCAGTCTGGCTGCAGAAGTAGAATCTCTTTCAGTGCAGAATCCTGAATATACTGTCTGCCCACAGCATGAGTTGGGGACACCTGATTCATTGTATACTTCCCATAGATTACTTGCCATGTACACGTTCTTCTGAGACCATGTTATTTTCCTTCAGATGAGTCTGTGGATTTTTATTTTACTTTGTTTTTCTCTATCAAACAGGGAAAACTGGTATCTCTGCTTCTAGTTTCAGGTTTTTTACTGGTCAGTGCTCAGCCAACCGAGAGGGGAGCTTTATTCAGAAGTACATTAAGAATATATAACAAGGACTGGATACTCCTTTGTTTCTTCCTTTTTACTTCCTTTATCAGTAAAAAAAAAAAAAAAAACAAAAAAACCCAAGCACCATACAATTCAGATATTTGACTATGCACTCATATGCCCAGTTATTTCACCTACCAGCATCATTGAGAAATTTAAGACTTTTAACGCTTACTTTTAAGTGAAAAAGCAAAGTTGCAACTGTTTCTCTTGAAGGTAGTTGTCCTGTGCTACCTTGCATGATGATGATTTCTAGTTGAGCTATGGCCATTTGGGTTGGAATGGAATTGCTATGTCATGTTACTACCTGGACATCAAGAAAAATACTTCCATATGGAATATTTACCTTTCTAGACTTGTGCCAACTACTTTGTATAGTTTGCACTGCAAGGGCAAACTATATACACTCACTCATGCTTGCATGGATGAGTCCTTGCTAGGTTTAATCTAGTTTAATTCTGCTACAGTGGCAGGTTTTCAGTTTAGAGTGGGAGAAAACAGTTTTGGATCTTGAGCAGCTCAAATGGCTCACTGCTGATGAAAGCCAAGGGTTGTATTTCTACTGCATTCCTTCTATATCTTTGTCTACTCAGATACCACTCAATGCTGAGCAAATTCAAATGGCTAAGCCAGCAGAAAATTAGTCTGGAAAGAAAAATAACAGAAAAGCTCAAGGCCATAAAAAAAAAAGGGGGAAAAATTGCTTTTAGAGATCTTTGACTTTTTTTTTCTTCCAAGTAAGATTAAACTGCAACTATTAGACTTGCAGTAAACTATACTACAGGGAAGTGCTTGTGATGAGACAAATGATGATAGCAGGCTTAGTCTAATGTTATGATCTATTAGTAATAACAGAGATCATTGAATAATTATATTTTGTGCATTGAATAAGCTTGAATTGGAGTTACTGATATGATGTCTTTTCACAGGTATTTCTCTGGAAAACCAATTTTGATTCACTTGATTATAAAGAAGTTCTTAAGGAACATATTAGAAGAGTGCATACTGATGACCCTCCTCACCTTCTTGACATTTACCCAAGGTCACCACATCCCCATAATGAGAGATTTCAGTCAATTGAGGTAAGTGCAATAGGTACTCTAATACATACAACCCAAAGCAGTGAACACCTTCTATCTAGCACTTACTGTTAAATGTGGGGTATGTATACCAGACAGTCTTTTTGTGTGCACAATATTTTGGAGACAACCATAAGTATCAGGAGCAGCGTAGCCAGCAGGACCGGGAAAGTGATTGTCCCCCTATACTCTGTGCTGTTGAGGCCGCACTTCAAATACTGTGTTCAGTTTTGGAGAATCTCACTACAAGAAAGTCATGGAGGTGCTGGAGCACATCCAAAGAAGGGCAGCAAAACTGCTGGGGTTATTTAGTGTGAAGAAGAGTAAGCTCAGGGGAGACCTTGTTGCTTCCTACAGCTACCTGAAAGGAGGTTGTAGTGAGGCAGGGGTCCATCACTTCTCCAGAATAACTACCCATACAACAGTAAATGACCTCAAGTTTCACCAAGAGAGCTTCAGGTTAGACATTAGGAAGAATTTCTACACAGAAAGTTTGGTGAAGCATTGGAACAGGCTGCCCAGGGATGTGGCGGAGTCACCATCCATGGCAGTGTTCAAGAAATGTGTGGATGAGGTGCTTAGGGACATGGTTTAGCAGGTATGCTGTTGAGGGGCTTATGGTTGGATTAGATGATCTCAAAGGTCTTTTCACAGAATCACAGTAATTTAGAAGTTTTTAGTAACTGCTTTCAGCACAGACAGCCAGCTATGGAACTCAGTCACAGTATTTGCCATCATATTAAATCGCTCTTACTTTACCAATATTTTGCCTCAAGACCCATTCAAACTGCACCTCTTTATTACCTGTGCTAAACAAACATGTTAGCACCTTGTTTGTTATCAACCCTGAAAGGTCATATAAAGCAAATCTTAATTGAATGCCAAGTTGTTTATAATGTGAACTTTGAAAAATTTAAACTAATGTCTGCATTTCTGCTATAACATTTGTGATAGTTTTATAGGCTTCTGGATTAGCTGCTTTCTATTAGCAAAGGAAGTTTGTGGCTTTGTCATTCAAAGTTTGAGGCTCCCCTGATATCTTGCCATAATTCTTCTCATGATCAGTCTGGGGATATTAACAGTAAGGTTACTAGTCTGATTTTAAATTAACATCACTTTTTATGTAAATGTCTTGCTCTCAAACCACTGTGAAATGTATTGTATTTACAGATTGGTAAACTGATACTTAGTTACTGATAAAGTTTTAGTGAAATGGATACTACTATGATGTCACTGTTTTATTTGTAAATTAAACAATTTACTAAAAATAAATGAGGTCTCTTTTGCAACTGATTTTCAGAATTGATAATGTAAAAGTTTAGATAAAGTATCAAAGTTAAACTTACTGAGTTTTAATTTCTTCATGTGTGACTTTCCCTGTATGCACTGCTCCTCCTGTCTATCCAAACAAAAATGTTGTTTGTTATAAGGAGGAAGAATGGGCCTCACCATCTGCAGATAGCCATAATTTACCTAGAGAAAATAGTGTCAGGTTATAACCACCACTGACATGCTTTAGTTACACTAACTATGCTTGAAATTTTGTAGTGTTCCTAAATATTGTTCACGACAATAAAGCAATGTTTTTCAGAGTCTTCCTACCTATTACCTCCCTTAGCTGAAAAATAAAACATTTCTACCCCCGTTGTGCTACAGTACTTTAGAATTTTCTCCTGCTTTCTTTTTTTTTTTCCTCCTAAAAATCATTCCAACATTTTTCTTGCGATAGGAAGTAGGTGATTTTATCACTAGGTGGGCTGACTGACTGCTGCAACCTCAACCTTATTCTTCAAGTTGCTCATCGTGTCCCCAGTTCTGTATCAGGAAAGCAGGAAATGAATTGCAGAAATGTTGATTAGAGGGAATTTCTGGAGGTCACCCAGCCCTACCCCCTGCTCGCTGTGGGAATGTTTCCAGGAGGCAGTCAGAGATCCCTGACTTTGCCTACTTGGCTGTTGAGCAAGGATGGAGATTCCACAGTGCTCGTGCAGCCCTGCACGGCCCATCCCGTGAAGCAGCTTTCCAGAGTGTCCAAGCTAAGCCTCTGACAAATTTTTTTTTTGTTCATTTTTTGTTAATTTTTTACATTTGTAAAAATTTACATTTTACATTTAAAACATTTGTTCATGTTTTGTTAAGAGCTTTTTTAAGAAATTTGGTAGTGTATGTAAATATTACAGGCAGGTAAGAAGACTAGTTGGAATACAGGAAATTGAAAGAACTGATGATCTTTTAAAGTTTGTTACAAGCAATTACAATGTCATCTAGATATGGTAAAAATGCATCGAATGTTGAGATGAATCCTAATCATTGTCCTTTGCTGAAATAAGGATTTTTTTTTTTGAAAATGGTATATTTATTTGGAAATAGTGTATATATTCAATAGTGTAGCTGTAGTGAATTATACAAAAAATGCAACTTTTCTCCTAATGGAAAGTTTTATTTCCAAATTTTCCGTTTTTTTGTGTTATTAATCCTTAGTATATCATAGACCTCCTTAAAGCTGTTGAAAGACTGTTCAAACTTCTTTAAAAAAAAGATATTATTTCAACCCAAGATGTTTTGGGTTTGTATCTTGAGCGTAAACATCTTCTGTTGATTTTTCATTTCCCATTAAAATCTTCAGTGTAATTTTGGAAGCAAATATTTTTTTTTCTAGATGAATAAAATGTGAGTCTACACTAGGTGGCAGTATAAATAAGAGAATAACTATTGCTTGTTCGTCCTGAGAACTCCAGTCTAACGTGAAATTAGTTTAATCATATTTAAATTTCTTCCTAGTATGTTTGCAAAGAGCTTTTCCACAGCTAAGTACATCACTCTTTCAAAGACATTTTGTGCCATTCAATTAAAACTCATATATTTAGCTTCATTCTATTACTTCATGAACTTTTGGTATAATATCCATGTTTTATGAAAGGCATTATAGAAATGTGACGTAAAACCTGCTGTGTTCTTTTAAAGATTGAATATACTCTATTAAATCCAGCAGAGGAATATTCATTTACCTAAAGCTTATGGTGAAGAATTAATGTCCTTAGATGATGCTGCTATGTTAGAGCCTCCCTTATTTCTCTGCTGCCTTAAGCAACAATCTTAATTCGTGCTTTTTATTTTCTTAAAGTAGCATTGTGTTTTGTACTACTGTAGTCTTCAGAGGTCTCTAATTCCCTACATATGAGGTTCTGGAGAACCTGTACTTTAAAAGTAGGAGGAGATTCGTGTTTGAATTTTGTTTTTAATTCTATGGGTCATTTAATAATATGTAATTTAATTACATTTAATAATATGTAATATAATATTGGAAGAAGATGCTCTATAACGTAGTTTACCAAATAATTAAAGGAAATACCAATTAAAAAAAAAAAAAAAAGCATCAACAACTTCAACACATGATTATTCTCTTTACATCACTTCTCAGTGTTCTGGTTTTCTCTCTTGTTTTTATTTATTTTTTTTTTTCCAAATGTTTGATGGGATTATTTCACAGCTAACTACATCACTTCATCAGGAGGTGTGTCAAGTGAGTCATTTGAAACTTTTCTATTTAGCTCCATTACTTCATTAACTTTTAGAGCAATATTAAATGCAGCTTACTCATTGAAAGGGTGTAGTTACACCCTTCATGTTTTATGCTGTTTTTTCCTTATGAGCTGTGCTATGCTTGAGCTGATGCTTAACAATTCTGTGCATATTTAGTTCTCTCCAGATTCAGTTCCTGCAGCACTGGTCAGTGGTTCCAGGTCTCCTCCTCCTCCCCTATCTCTGATAAAGTGGAAGCCAGAAATATTTGCAGAGGAGACTTGCATTCCAGTGCCAGGATGAGATACTCCTGCATAAGCAGCACTTTTTCTTCATGTAATCATACCACTTATTTAGCAATGCAACATCAGAAAAAAAAAATGTTTGCAATAATTTTGTATGCAACAAAGAGATTTTATTGCAAAGAAGGTAATAATTGTTAGTGATAGTGCCAGAGTAATTCAAGTTGGTCCTCTACATCAGAATTTTGATGGCATCTGGTGTCCCTATTCTGTGGTGTCCCGCAGGTGCCATGTCCTCTGTTCTTTTCAGTTCCTAAAGGGTACATGTCCAAAAAGGACTGGGCTCAGCTGCCAGTGGTGCCAATGACATTTAGCTGATATATTTATTACAGGAAGTTCTGACAGTCAGACACAGATCAGACCTTTTTATGCTGGACACTAAATAAACAGTACCTGATTATGAATCTTTGAATATTTTAAATAAATAGTAAATACCTATTTTCTGTTTCATTTAAATAGATGAGGTATGTATAGGGGAAAGAGTAAAATTTTTGGCATAGGATTTTTGCTGTATTGGTAGCAAAGTCCAGTTAAAACTTTAGATCTTTCAGATAAAGACAAAGTTACTGCTTAGACTGTGTTATCTGGCTCCATTTTATCTTTTTGCCTTTCTTTACTTTAAACTCATTTGACAAAATTGGAGAGAGAGACAAAAAGAGAGAGAGGAAAAAATAAAATAAAATAAAATGCCTCTTAATCATATTTTCTACAAATTGAGGAAGACTACTGACAGCTCTCAGTTCTTATAACCCTGTAATTGGTCGAGTGCAGAGAATTCCTCAATTGACCCAACAACAATCTGAATTAAAAGTCTGAATACCTACCAAAAGAGCTCATGGATGAAGAACAGCTTGTCTGAACTGAATTCAAGCAAATCTAAGCGTTGCTAGTCAGAAATGGTGATCTAGCTTAAAAAAAGGGGTTGAGATATCCCTTTAATGAAGTCTTGTCATCTCTGGGTTGTCAGTACTGCAAAGCAGGAGGATGCTTGAATGATCAGGTGACATCTGAGTCTAAATATGCCTTTTTTTTTTCCCCCTAAAGCTTGCAAGGAAACTTTGTAACTCATTTTCTTTTTTCCATAACCTCCCTTCCCCCATGAAGATCTTACTCTAGGGAACTTTCTTTATGCCAGTTCCAATCTGAATTGCATGACATAAGTTATAGAAATCTAAATAAGCTGAAAGAAAAGGCTCCAGGCAGTGCAGGATGCTATTGCCTGTCTCTCCTGGCTGCTAATTCTAGTTTAAAGCTTCTAGCTGCTTACTCAACTAATGGATGTGTGGCCTAAAAGGCTCTACTTCCATTTCCAGATCAAGCAGTTTAGGTTGAGGGAGTCCCACTGAAGTAGTCACGGAACAAGCAGCTCAGACTAGTCTGAAGTTGTGAAAGCCCTCAGGTGAGGTGATAGGTCCTTTCTTCTTAAATAGATGAGATAAAATGCTGTTTTTATCTTATAAATCTCCAGCAAGAAAAAGAGAAAAAATCACTAGGCAGGTGTGGAGGATTTATTTGTTTTTAGTTGAAAGTAAGATAGCTAGAGATAATAGCCTTTGATAAGTCTATTGATGCAAAGTTGAAAAGAAGAAAGTTTCTCTTTACTACTCCAGACTTCTTGATGATTTGGAAGTCATCTAGCGTTTCTTTGAATTTTGTCAGTTCATAAAATAGTTTGTACATCATCCTCAAAGGAAAAATATGTTAGGCCATGATGTGCCCAGATAATAAAATGATAAGGAAAATATGCAATGAAGCTTTCATAAGAATGAGATTCTGATTCTTAAGTCAGAACCAAAAACAAATAAAAGCAGCAGCTTTTTTTCCCCACAGTTCTTTATACTCTCTTACTTTTTATTAATATTTTACTTTTCAGGAATGGACATTAGGAAAATATTGTATTAGATTATTTCCTATTGCCAACAATAAATGAGTACTCAAACTGCAATACTAAAAGTCAGATTTTCAGACCTTGTGATGATATTTGTATATCTGAAACAGAATGTTCCCTCTTGTGTTGAAATCAGCCTCTGGAATTATCCAGTTTTTCGTATGACTTTAGGGACAGCAAGATTTCTATTTAGCTAGCTGATATTTAGCTAGCTGACTTATCACAGAAGTCAGTGTTGCCTGATACCTATTTTCCACAATAATGTTCTTTGCTGCTATTCTAAAATATCAGGAGTATCTTGTAAGAAGCAAACAAGTCTCTGGATTGCTCTGATAAGTGACTGGGGAAGTTGAGCATGAACTTGAAATGGAGCTATCTCTGCAGCAAAATGTATGCTCACAGATGCTTCTGGTGCTAACGATGCAGTACTTTAATAAGGCAATTTAGGCTCCTATATATTCACTGAGACAGAGTGGCTGCAATTGTATGGAGCCCAGGTGAAGCTGTTTTACCCTTTCCATTTTACTCTAGTGAGCTTCATGTCACACACCCAACACCAACTTACCAAAAAAAATATGGTAATGGAACTTGGAAGCTGTGGTATGAGACTGTGAGCCAGGATGTGCCTGTCGTACAACTGGCTGGGGCCCAACTTAACATAAAAACTTGGGTACTGTGTGCAGAAACCACAGGCAGCAGAGCTCCCAAGTTCATAGTCATCCATGACCCTTCTGCCCTTGGATATTTCATCTTCATGGAAGGAAGAACAGGAAAAAGAGCCTACAACTACACCCACAAATGACCAGAGCTAGAAAATAAATCTTGAAATGATCTTCTAGTTGTTGCCAAACAGAGGATAGGTCGAAGGAATGTATTTGTGTGCCCACACAGGAGAAAAAAGAAGTGGAATCACACAAAATATTCAAGAAGGGAACTAGAACAGATGCTGGTTAAGTCGCTATGAATAAGATGACTAAGAAAGCCCTTAATTTCAATGCAAGCTAGAGGTGCTTCCTGCTTGCTGAACAAACGGAGTTCAAGTAGCCAGACACTTCAGGCTGCGCACGTGCACAGCTGGCAGTGTCATGGTAAGTGCTGCAGCTCTCTCATCAGAAAATGCTGGTTTGGCACAAAACATGGAATTTCTGACCAATGAAACGCTTGACCTTAGTGCCTCATCAAAGTGCCTCTGTGTGTGCTCAATTTTCCAAGTAATGCAACGATGGAAGTAGCATTCCATGCTGCAGGTTTGTGGCTTTCTGCCATTGAGCCATAAGGTGCTTTGAATCCTGATACCACGGAGCTAGGTGATCAGAGCGCAAACGCTGCAGGTTCACTCTGAGTATGGCTGCCAGAAGCCCCTCTTCTGGTGAAGCTGCAAAAGTGGGATAATTTTAAAACCTTTATTCACTTTAGCTGAAGTGGGGAGCGAACTGGTGTGAACTAGAGAGACGCTAAAGCAGCCAACAAGCACGTGAGAGCTTTGGCTTACCGTGGGTTGGTTGGTTGTAGTTATAGACAACATAATCTAGTTCTGAAAACTTGCTATCAGTGATAAATTTGTGTTCCACATTTTGCCTTTAATGCATCTTGTGCATCTATGTCAATTTAAAAACAAAACAAAAAAAGTGTAAGAGTCGGTATAACATGAGGGATACAAACTAAACTTTTGAAGGCATCTGCAAGAAACATTTACAGACTTCAGGAAGTATTCGGTTAGTATCTGCAGTTCACTTTTTCAGCAGCATCTTTGGCCACTCTTTAGAAAATTTCTTAAACTGTTGTATTGCTTCAATTTTGGACTGTTTGAGTTAACTGTCTTGTCCATTCTGAATTGTGTTTGGCACTTCATTTTTATTCGTTTGTCCTAAAACTGAGTTTCTTAATATCTAGGTTTGTTGCGATAAGAGCCCTTGAGTTAATTTTGAATGATGTTTGTAAAGTATGAGTGATATCTCTGTCATAAATGCACATCTGGATCCTATTTCTGTATCGTATAATTGCGTGTTTTACTGTTGCAGGGGCAATCTTTTCTTTATTTCTCATATACTTTAAAGCCTTTAGAGCCTTTAGTTAATATTGGTTCCTTAGAGGCAAATGTTCCTTTTTAATTCAGTCTCGCTTCTCATACTGGTGCTGAAATAGTAATGATTCTATTTTCAATAGGTCAACCCTAGCTTTGATGTGGCTGATACACAAACACTCGACCCACCCATCATAGAGATAAGTTCCTCTTCATCTTTCAGTACTCTGGTAAGTTCCTTGTTTGTGAAAAGGGGATCAGTTACTGGGGGTGTATTTGTTTTGTCTATACGGATAAAATATACTTTTTAATAACTCCTAACTGTTCAGAGTTCAACATCTTAGATTTTCAACTTCAGTTTGTTTTCAATTTCCAAGGATAACCAGAAGATGGTGTAGTAGTGAAGCTTTTGTAATATCGCAGCACTTTTATCCTTGTACTAAGCAACAACTCCAATTCTAAGCCCATGCTAATTATATTCTAAATATTGTTGTTATTTGTGTCTTATTCTGAAACAGCCCTTCTAACTCTGCCTTTATCTGCACTTCATGGGAAGCCTAGAGAATAGTTACCTTACGCTAAAATTCCAGTAATGATATTTCATTTTTTTTTCCTTTTAAGTCATCTGGTAATTCTCTAGGAAAGCAAAGGTAACAATTCTAGGAAAGAATGATAGGACTAGATCCTTCTAGCATTAGCTTTTCATGTGACATTGGTATGGCATGTGGGAGGAAAGGAAGGCAATGTTTTAACGGTACTTTCGTAGGAGGAGAAATATGCTCTCCTGGTATGAAGTCCTAGAAGATGTACTGTTCTAGAATTAGGTTAAAATGAGAATTTCTCTTTTTTAGCTCTGAATCTGTTCCTGTGAAGGCGTGATTTGTATCTACAGTGATGTTAATTGCCCTATCAACAGTTGTACAGCTGAACGGTTAATACCTCAGCCTAGGCAGTAGGTGTGGTTTCTGCTGCTCTGTTTTATCATAAATGCCTTCTGAATAGGCAGCTTATGAGGGTACTTTTAATAAAGTACTTTGAGGTCATTGGGTGAAAATCATGGTGTAAAGATATGTTTAAAAAGAAAAATCTGCCAACAGAAATAACCACATGTGTCTTCTACTTGATGAGAAATGTTACAGTTTCATATACCTTAAGGCTTAGCAACGGTCGTATTGTCTCTTCACAAAAAATATGGATCTTTAAGATGAGATAATTTGTGTCAAAAGAAGTAATTTGGAGATTTACAGGAGTCTCTTAAGCAGGTTTGACAGATTGTAGCTTGATGCAGTTTATTGACTACCCGTTGCATTAAAACATGCTGTGTTCATTACTTCCTGATCTTAATACTGATTACAGTATACAGTGTATGCTACACTGTATTTCTTTGTCACATATCTATACAACTGCCAATCATATAATCTTCTTCATTAGTTCGTTCAGTTTGAAAGCACTTAATAAAACCTTATGCCCAGAAATCATCTGAGAGAGTCAAACAAGGATTTTTGTTTTAATGTAGATCCACTACAGGTAGCAGTCAGACCTTACAGTCTTATTAAAAAATTTGTTTCAAAAATCATACCTTTTGACTGTCAGTTCCTACATGTTTTTATTACCCTGAGCTGCTGTTCACCATTGACTCTCACCTTTCTGCATCCCAGCAACCATCATCTACCTTTTTTTCCTCCTCCCTCTTCCATCTAGTAACATTTTCGATCCTCATTACTCTGATTACAGTCTTAAGGGCAACTTCTCTGGCCCACAGAACCACTGTTGACACAAATCCAGTAGCCAAGTGCACATTTTCTCTGCAACTACCTCTTTTCCTGAAGCAACACTTCCACAAATTTGGCAACCCATCTGGGCTTCCCTGCTTTCTAATGTCATGTGTTTGTGTTCAGCATCACTGTGCTCTCCAGTACCTGTCTTCTGCCTTTCCTGCACCTCTTGTCTGTGGAATGGCTGCCTGTTTTTAAATTGAGATGTGGGTCAGCCATCAGATTTCTCCATGCTTTTTTCCCAAAGGGTTCTGGATCTCAGTGACTTAGACCTTTTCATGTAGAACTGGCTCAACTGCCATCATGTGTAGAGGCCTCTTCTGTAGAGTCTTTATATTCTTCTGAGAGGTCAAAGGCAGGAAGGGAAGATGATGGAATTCTGTCTCACTTAAAACTGCCAAACTTCTCCTTGATATTATTTATCCTCACATGAATGGCATAATTTGATGTCATTATTGTGTCTAACTGATCCTGTCTTTTCCTAATTCCAAAATCTGGCTTTTTTTTTTTCTTTTTCCTTCATTATCAGGCAATTCCCTGTATACTTTGGTTTTGTTTACCCCTGCAAAATTTATCAAGACCAATCTTAAAGCTGTTTGTAGGCTTTTTCTCCTACTTCTACTGAAAGGACTCTGGTCCAGTGCTCTGCTCTTTGGGCTGACTTCAGAGTCTTTATTCAGATTGCCAGCTTAATTCACAAATGTCCAGTGTAAACCTATTTATTCTTGTTCAAGTGTTACACTTAAATAGCTCTTCTGCCATTTTGATATATTCAGAAAGGAAAAATATACTACTGTGTTCATCTATCTTTAAGTATTCTTGTTCAATGACTTTATGTATTATGCATTTAACACAGCAGGGCTATTAAGGTCTTTCAAACAGATGGTATTTGAAAAGCACTTCAGCAAGTCCCTGGACCAGACTTCTTCAGAACAAATAAAGACGGTGAAGCTTTTGTAGGGTCTGTGATGAATTCCCAACAGCTCACTGAAAGATCTTCAGGAAGAGTGCAAATCTCTCTCAAACCTTGTAATATTATGTTGAATGATTATCGAGCTTCTAGACAGTAACTGGATTAATTCTTATAAAACTCAAGCAACTCCAGGAAGCAGGAAAAAGACACCCCTGTTCTGCGACCTCCCTCCGTTTATCTCTTCTGTGACAGGGTTTTTCCGCTTTGTGTGATCTACCAATTGAGAATCTCTTCAGGCTATTCAGTCTGTTTCTGTTGATACTGGTCATAGAAAGTACGTTAATACTGCCTCTGGAAGGACTTCAAACAAAGCAAAAAGGTATTCCTTTCTCTGATATAGATTTATTAACTGAAATTATTGAGCAGGATATGTTGGAAGGGGTTTGGAGGAATCTCTTCCAACCTTACACTTAAAACAAGGTCAACTTCGCAACTTGGATGAGGTTACAGAGGGCTTTTTCCATTTGATTATCTTTAGGAACAGAGATTCCACAAACTCTCTGGGCTACTTATTTAATATTTTACCATATTGTCATGAAAATATTTTTCACAAAATGCAATTGGAATTTCTTACATTCCAACTTGCATATTGCCCAAATCCTATCACAATGGTCCAGCTCAGTCTTCTGTATATTCTGCAGTCAGACATTTGAAACAGCAGTTAGATTTGCCCTGAGACTTTTCTTAAGGCCGAGCAAACCTGGTTCTCTCAGCTTCTCCTTATATATCATGTCCTGTGGCCGCCTCACATCTTCTTGACCCTTCACTGCACTTCCTCCATAATGTCAAAGTCTTCCCTGTATAGAGAAACCCCAAACTCTACACCATAATATGATTTAAGGTACAGTTAAGTAGCTTGTCCTCTGTTTTTCACAGCACTCTGCCTGGAGAAAGACAAAAAAACAAACCTAAATCATATTATTAGTAATTACCTTTGTTGCAGGTTTATATTTATGTAATCTTAGCCTTTGATTTATAATTTGAGCTTCCTCTTTTTTCCTTTCCCTCTTACTGAAGATTCTAAAAATATTATATTGCCTCTCTCCCAGCTCTTCTTTTCCACATGCCACGCAACTTAATAGTACTTTGTTTTCTGAGCTGTTGAAAAACAAAAGTTGGAAGAGTTGTCTCCCTTCGAGACCGTTTCCTCCTAATTCATCCTATGATTTTTACTTTTAGTTTTGAGAGGGGTTCGATTTGTGGTGTGTGTATATGGGTTTTTTTCTCCCGGGGTCTGTATCGGTCTGCAACTTCATACACTGGCAACCTCTGGTTCCTGATAAGCTGCTGAGAACAAGGGAAAGTTGATGATGTCTCAGTGGCTTTTACCCACAGTGGCAGGAAATCTCTGTATGGGCTCTGCAGTGTTCCGTCCCGTGACCTTGCTCATGTAAACAGGATTTGAAGGGAGCAAAGCAGCGTACTGTAATGTGAAGTCAGAAAGTCTGCACTGATTGTGAGAAATATGCTGTTTTTTCTCTTCCAGTGCTAGTAAACAACGAAAGCAAAGACATATTTATTCATGTACAGTATGATTTCTATGAAGTTGAGCTGTTAATTATTGGAAGGGTAAAGGTAAGGATTGTGTCTCTTTAGAATAAAAGAGACCTTGTAGATTATTTTCTTTTTTACACCAATTTTACCATTTTTGAGAGCAAATAGTAGTATATGTGCAGTTTTATTACTTAAGGTAAATCACTGACAGCGGATTTGTACTGCATTTGGGTAAAGTACAGGCATTTATATACTCAATTTGTGATACAGTTGTTGCCTCCACAGTGTGTCTTTCAGGTTTTTTTCACCCAGATATTACTGCCTTTTGTATTTTGGGTATATCCAAAAATAAAAGAAAGGGAAGGGAAGGGGAAAGAAAATAGAGAAAAGCATTCCCTCATGCGTTGTAAACTATGATAACAATTATGAATGCAGAATTTGTATCTAGTTCATCTGTTTTTCTGTGTATGTGAAGGCTTACACAGCTGTTCTCTCACACTGAAAGCAACTTCTGAAGAGGTCTTGGGATGAAGATCTTTCTTGTGTGGCTTAATCACAAATCCAGAATTTTGTAGAAGAGAGGATGATAAAAAGGAACGTCTTAAAAGTGCATCCTTTCCATGAAACTTTGTATTTATTCTGTTTTCCATCCTTTCCTGGCTGCAGTCTTACAGAGAAACAAACGCCATCTGCCTTGAATGACGTTAGTGGGAGGGGAAGAGGAAGACCTGAAAAATAAGAATTACGCAGCTAGATCACCTCCTTTGGGGCCCCAGTGCTATTCAGAAGGGCACTTTCAGTCGAGTAAAATTCACCTGACACTTCACAGTGCACAGTAGCTATCCTTACTGCTTCTTGCAGTTGGTCCAAAGGCACAAACAGAAATGCACTGCTTGTTTCTGCAGTTCATGAATCTCACATATTTTTGGACCTTTGAGACCCAGCCTTTCATTTAAACTCTGATCCCTATATGATATTTATTTATTCC